CGGAGAATCAGTCTATTCCAGGGGGCCCAGAAAAAAATCGAAGGAAACCACTCAGAAACCGCCTCAATCGCATGTCTAAAGCACACTGAAACAAACCCTGACTCGCAGCCTGCATCACTTCATGCGGCGCCGGCTGCTTCTTGATCGGGTCCTGGCAGTTGACTTAAGGGGGTCTTCGCAGTTGATTCGGGAATGTGTTTTGATTTCTTGCATGTGCTGCGCAGAAAAAAGGCCTCAAGACCAAATGCTTTCCACGTCCAAATAGACTTGGCTTTCTTGCCCTGCGATGCCACGTAGTACTGCCCATAGCGCTTCGAGCCTTCCTGGGGTATCTAGCATTTGTGCATTTGTTCAACACATAATAACAGAATGGCGCTGAGCATGGGTAGACAACCGTAGACCTTGACCACAATAAGCCCCTAAATCCAAGACCCAATGAAACCTGCGTGTCTTAGTGGCTCAGCACAAGAGTCACGGAGATCACGCTGAAGCTCCCAATCATCGGCAGAGGTCGGAAGGGATCTCTGTTCCTTGGACGCCACGTCCGTGAGGATGAACATCTGATGCTCATGGTTGTAGGAGACCTGGTACGGTTCCTTCACAGTCTCCGGCTCCTCCTGACCAAAAAAACAATATTTAGATAAGTCGCTGTGGTACTATGCAGCTAGCAAGCTGTTGCGCCCCGCTACCATAAATTCTGAACCCGAAGCCTAAATCGCTGTAGAGCATGATCAAATTCCAGCTACCCCGTCCTCCGAGGATGAAGGACACTGAAGTGACTGGGTTGACTTCAACCTCTCTGGCACGGGGGGAGGCAAGGGATTACCAGACCCTGTAATCTTCTGCTTGTAGCCGAGCCCGCAAATGCCGCAGGCTGCCCTGGCTTCACCACAAGCGCAGCGGCCAGAAATCATTGGGGGCGCAGGCGCACCTGCAAGCATCTCTCTTTTGTAAATGGAATATCCGAGAAAGTCTGCTTTAATAGCTTAGAATAAAGGAGTGCATGGCCCGCCTGGCTGGGCGGCCATGCCAGTAAGTAGAACCGTCCCTGCGGTGCCTGCCGCAAGTAGTCCAACCGGTGGCGCAGCCTGCTCGGGCGGCGCTTCCTTTGTGGGTGGGACAAGAGTGACAGGCTGGTCTGCGGCTGCAGGCGCCACAAGCGCAACTTGCTGGGTGCGGAGTGGCGTCAGACATGGCATGGGGCCTGGGACAGCAGGAACTGACGACGGCTGGCTTGGCTGCTGGCGCAAGTGGAACTGAACTGCCTGGGGGTTGAGGCACGCTTTGAAGTGCTCCTTGTCCATCAGGGCCGAGGGTTCTTGGCGCACGTCGATGTAGGGTGCCAAGACTTGATCGCAGAAGAGCACGTTGGGCGCCACCCGCGCCAAGCCTTCAAATGGTATGGGGTATGATTCTAACGTATTTAAACCCTGAACCCTAGACACCTCTCCACTAAAAAAGCTCAGCGGTATGCAGCCCTAGTGTTTTGGGGGCACTGCTGGATTGTCAGGAAAACAGCTGGTCGCCTATGCGTCCACAGCGGCAGCATCAGAAGCGACAGGAACAGCATCAGCGTCAGCAGCATCAGCATCATCATCATCCTCACTCATAATCATCATACTCATCAGAACAAAGACTTGTTGGGGAACAGCTATAGACTAAACCATCAACCCCCTTATAAGATTAATTAACTAAACATAAGGTCGGCCCAAATCCATAACACAATACCGCAAATACGTTTGCGCGGCAGTCTCTCTGCAGGCACCACCCCTGCCACGCCAGTGCATCACCAGACCGCCAGCAAAGGCAAAGGCTTTCAATTCAGGTTTTGTCATTAGGAATCATCAGGGTTTAGTTAGGGTTCAGGGTTCGGGGATTAGGGTTTAGGGTTTGGGGACTAGGCTTTTTGGTATAAGGTTTTGGGATTAGGTAGTAGGGATTTAGATTGTAGTTGGAGAACAAAGGCATGACGTGCCCGCAAACAAAAACAGTCTAGCTCGTTGCTGTTGATACAGCAGGAAAATCAAGCGCTATGTATCCCCAAGAGTCCATAAGTGGTATCTGGTCTATATTAATTAGGGCGGCGGTGCAAGATGTCCTCCATCAGCTTGGTGCACTAGTAGCCCCCTAACAGGTATCATAGTAGCTTACCTACCCCATCAACTCCAGGGTCCCTCAAAGTGTAGGATTTGCATGGATTGCCGATTGGCTGTTCTATGAGTGTTTAGGGTTGAGGGTTTAGGGTATCGGCTACTGGTTTGTGGAGGAATGTGTTCTAAATCGAGATGCCTTCAAGGGCGATGACGTAGGCCCGGGCCGTAGCCTTGTCCAGCCTAAGCACGTAGGTTTTCTGATATGGCGCGTCGAGGTGGCACGAAATGTCGATTTCAGCCTTCCCGTTGTCGAGTAGCCATGTCATGTTATGCTTGTTGAGCCGGTAGCAATCCTGCCCCATCTCGACTGCCCTGAAAAACAGGTCGAGGACGTCAGCGCCTAGGTGGTCACCTGGCCGCTGGCGCCTGGAGTACTGCTGCAGAAGAGTGTTCCCCGTCTTGTCGCTGTTGGCTTTCCTGCAGCAGGTAGATTCCAGGTAGATTCGAGAACGTTGCAGCGCTGCATTCATTCATGACTGAAAACCACCCAAGCTAAACCCTAAACCTGAAATTTAAGCCTTTAAGTTAACTCTTTGAAACTAAACCTCATCAAAGGCTCTCATCGGGCGTCAGGCGGTCATTGGGGTGTTTGCCCCAATACCACCAGGCCATACTATTCAAGGTTGTGGTCTCCAATGTATCCAAGTAGGAGATGTTGGCGAAATCGCCCTGACGGTTTATCTCAAATTTTAACTTTGGTTGAGGGATTCGTGAGCAAGAAGCTGCGATGTAAAATTTTCTGCCGAGGCTCGCCAGACTTGGCAAGCATGTCCTTCAGTATGTAGTCCTGAGCGCAGGACGCTGCATCTACGCCGCGCGCATGACCTACAGAGATTGAAGGCTACAACTCATGAAGCAAAGGTAAGCTCCCTACAGTGACCTGACCCCACGTCGATGCATAGATGATGGGGCCAGCCCCCTTCTTCCCGGTCTGCGCCGCCTTTGCCTTGCGGCGTCGCTTCGCCGCGCTGCTTTGCTCCATCTCTTCTGCTGGCTCAGTGCCAGGGACACCCGCCGGAGGAAGTGCCACCAATGCCTGCGGTCCAGTGCCAGGTGGGAAGCCATAGAGCGCAGGATTAAAGCCTGCAGCGGGCACACCACTAATAGGCATGGGCGCAGCGCCCTGGTTGAATCCTGGAGCCATCGTGCTGTAGGGGGTGGCAGGCATGAGCGACGCCGGCCCTGTCGCAGATGCTGTTGCGTGCGGCGGTGGTCCAGCGCAAGGGCCTGCAACACTGGGAGCGGTTCCGCTCAGAACCAACGGATGGCCTGTTCCTGCGGGAAGCCCTGTACCAAGGGGCCGCATCTTTGCAAGTGAAGGGGTCTAGACGAGTCTAAGACTCTCTACGGGCAGTTCACACAACAGATTTGGGCCACGCCTGCAACCCACAAAAAACAAGAGGGCGCTCAAACGATGATGCCACGCACTCAGCTGTGAAAGCTGCAGTGATGCAGGAATGAGGTCGCAACTTGTTTTCTGAGGCTGAGCACGGTCAATCTGCACTCAGTCAGCAGGCGCAAGACTGAAGCAGCTAAAGGCAATCATCTGTGCCAAGGCTGCGCATTGCAACGCCATTGCATTGCCTAGCAGTTGACCACAGCGCTTGTGGTCACGGGTGCCCATCACTTTTACCTTCAAAGCGTCGGCTATCTTCTGGTCCACGGGGAAGGTCATACAGGACAGCCTCAGATTGAAAGATGCGATTGGGCAGTTCAACGGACAGCCGTCTTTGACTTTGTCACGCGCAATTTCTCCTGCACTCGCGCGCTCACTCACTCAACTCACTCACTCGCTCAACTCCTTCACGCGCACACACACACACACACACACACACGCGCGCGCGCACGTCTCTCTCTCTCTCTCTCTCTCTCTCTCTCTGTGTCTCTCTCCCTTGCACTCTCTCTGTCTTCGCCGCTGCCTGTCACCATTTTGAACCATCTAACTTGCCCTTAACACGGTTGCCCGACTTGACCTGGGCAGCTTGGAATCTCTCTAAATGCTTGGCTAGCAGCTTCTCGGCCTGCGTCAGCCAGCGTTTTGCCGATGGATACCAGAATTTGGCGGCTGAGACGTTTCGTCTAAACGTAGGTACTTTGTTGCTCACCGCACTCCATGTAACGGAGAAATCACAATTATCGCCTAAAAAATAGCAGAGGTTAGGCTGGCTTTCTGGGCTCAACCCCGTCCTCTGCCTGAAGAGTCTGTTCATCTCTTGCACTACATCCTGTTCCCGCGGTGTGAGCAAATACGACAGGTCGGTCACATTGGACCGAAACACTTTTCCGGCGCGGCCTGAGTGAGTTGAATTCCAAAGTGACTAAGCACTATACTCCAAGTTCCCTACGCCCTCCACCTACCATTATGACGACTTGCGAATCTCCCGCTGAATGACTAATCAATCAGATAGCCTAAAGCTTGCACGGGTGCACCGGAGAAGGGCAGAACTCAAACCCAGCAGATCCTGGACACGAAACAAACACCAAAAGTACTGCTGCTGCTGCTGCTGCTGATTCTGAGTGTAAGCGCCGCTGGCAATGAGTGAGGGGTTGCGGCGGTGAAGGTGGTGTGTCTAAGGTATAATCTCCCTTAAGTCGAAAAATATGGAAATGCCCAATATATCATTATAAGATCCCTATATACCCAGTATTTTATCTATTCAAAGGGGGCTACCAGTTCAGGGTTTAGGGATTTTGGTTTCCTTGCTGCGCTGTTGCTGCTGCAGTTTGTAAAAGAAACTCCTGCCGAGCAAGCTGACAATGAAATTATTCAAGCTCTAAACCGTATGATAGATTAACGGCCTATTCTATGTAACTTCAGGGGGACTATAATTTGTAAGGAATTAGGGAGTGAGTTAGGATTCAGCGCCGATGTTTTGCTGCTGCAGCCTTGTAGGACACTCCGCCCGAACTGGCTCACAATTTCTGAAGCCCTACTAAACTTTAATCCCTCGGCGATCGAGACCCCATATTCTATCTACCGAAGGGGGACTATAAGACCAGGGCGGACACTGCGCCCGAACTGGCTCACAATTTCTTAGGCCCTAAACACCCTAATCGTTTGTGAGCCTGAAAACTTAAACTCCACAAGCCCTAAACTTTCGAACTTCTAAGACCCTCCAGGAGCCCCAATCAAAAGCTTGTGGCCTTGTGGATACATGAAATTAGTTCTGAGGTAAATGACTGGGCGCGCGCTGTCTCCAATGCATCCATACACACTTCGAGTTGCCCGGCGATGAGGTAATCTTTGGGCTCTGTGCGGTAGAATTGGCGGACATGAGTGGAAATATGTTGGAAGACCAGGGTGGGGTCAGCAAGCATGCGTGCATGCTTGGTCACGACAATCACGTATAGCCTTCTGCGGGATACACCCGAATGACCAACATCAGCAAGGTCCATCTTCAGCGGGTATATGTTGTAGAGGTCGGAGAGAAGGTCTTCTATCACTTGGAGGTGCATATCCTTAGACGATTAGTTCTGAGTTTGAAGAGCCTACATAGGGAAGAAAGGTTGGAGTTTTTGCAAGCCAGTGGCCTCTGTATTTTCCAAGATAGCCAGCGGAATCCTGTACCGGCGTAACCTCAAAGCCCACACCGCAAACAGCGGGCCGGTTGGGCCCTCCTCAAACTCACGCGGGCCGTTGCAGCTCTTCATTCTTGAGGCATCCGTGCAAGGAAGCCCACTCATGTCGAAGTCGACATGAGGGACTCTGCATCTTTTCCCGTGGGTCTTGCAAGGCTGCACTTGCTGAGTCTGGGCTGAGAAAATGGCGTGCTTTGCCTCCGTGAAACCTGCCACAAGACAAGACAAAGCAAGCAACATCTAGGAGCAGCTACTAACGGCAACGGGAAAATGTCATCACGCTAACAATCTAGCAAGAAGCTTTCTGAGCCGTTCAACGTCCCATCAGGGCAAAGCTGCATCATGTCTTCAAAGAGACATGGCGTAGGATCCTCCTGCCCTGTGACCGCCATAGCCCATGAATGATTGTCGATGATGCTTTGATCACATTTCTGCTCAATCTCCTTGGCCAATGGCAGCTGACAATTTCAAATGTCGCAACGTGGCTGCACAGTCACTTGACCAAGAAACTGAGACCCAGTCCCATACTGCCTTTGAAACAGGCGCAACTTTCTGTCTGAAGTAGCCAGTGTCATTGACTATGCAAGCAGCAACAGCCAGTGCGGCTTCTGCCGTATACACACCTGTGCACATGGATGATGTAGTGCGGACTGTAGTCCACATTGACTCCTGACCGGAGGCTAGGGGTCTCAGCTGCCAGGGCAACGCAGCAAAACCCCGCCTGCAAGCCCGGCACCAGTCGGGTAATGAGATTCCAAGCAGCCTGCAGTGTGAAATCTGCAGCGCTACTAAGTTAAGCTTTAAGGAGGAAGGCAACAGGAGCTGATGCCTGCAGTGCAGTCGACGCTGCCCCCAGCGTCTTCGCATGCTGCTGCGCATTACTGTCCTGACAAGGCACACGGCAACATAACACTTTTGCCAAACAAACTGTTCTAGCAGTCCTGTTTCAAAAAAGCTGGCTTCAAGAACTTGCTGTCTGTGGCAGTCGTCCAGGACTGTGACGATGAGGCGGAGCGCTTCATGGCGACAAACAACCCTGTGCACCAAAGCCGAGTATTACCTGGCTATTACCTGCGAGGTTGCAAAACTGATCTCGCCACTGCTTGACCACAAGGTTCAGACGTCCAAGCGAGACATGTGTGATGCAACAACGATGTACAACCTTGAGCAAAGACCTGCTTGCAAACAGTTGACTTGTTTCTGTTCCAACGAAGCATGCACAACTCTGGCACCAGGGCAATGACCAGCGGGGGTCCAAAACCACCAAGACGCTTCCAAGGACCTGGGCAGGAACTTTTAACCAGGAACTACTGCAACATCAGTTGAGGCCGCGACACAAGACATAGAAAACTTCAGTGGGAATTTTCGCCACGTTCGACCCGTCCATCGTCATCTGGCAAGAAAAACAGGCAGTTGCACAAGTAGCGCCAAAAAAAAGACACCTTCCCATGACACGCCCAAAACCCAACTATCCGTTCTTACCCCAAAACCCACATCCCGCCTAAAAAGCAAAGCCCAGCAACAAGCGCAACCAACAGCAGCAGCAGCAGCAGCACCAGCAGCAGCAGCAGCAGCAGCATTAGCAACAGCATCAACAATCAGCCAGGACTGCTGACCATGTTGAGCGCAGCAAGCTACCCAACTGCACTCTGAGTTCCGTGCATGCACAATGTTCTGATCCCCAAACTCTGCTCGCATGCGTTCAGCATATGGAACCTCGATGGAGTCTGGGGGAACCCGGGCCCATAAGTTAGGGCAATGATGCCAAGGAGCCATTGCACGACGCGCAAACATGCATGGTGAAGTAGGCCACCCACCCAATGCTTGTTTGATCAATACCTCCTGTCGCCAGGAAAATTAAACATCAGCAATCGCACAATGGAAAGGCTTCGCCTGTCCTTGCCACTCCGAAGTTGTTCCACTGCATGGATGAAGGACGACAAAGGCATTCGTTTACGAGGCGCATGACGAACATTCTCTGCAAGCAGACAGTGTCGCAGGGCATTGTCATCCTGCGCGTAAATTAACGCTGGCCGAAGCAAGCTGAAAGACAAATTGTCAAACAACCACAGTCCAGTTGTTTGGCGATCTGTGCCAGGATGCTGTTGGCAATTGCACGCAAAGCTTGAGTATCGCCATCTAAATTATCGATTTCGGTTCCATGACACCTGCAGCACAAACAATATTTGCTGCATTTACAAGGCGCTCCTTAGCAACGCCTCTTCTACTGCAGAACAAGGCCCGCCTGTGGAAAGCAAAAGCGACAAAGTCTGCCAGATGCGGCGTCCCAAGAGGGGATGTTACCAGTGCGTCAGCAGGATCCTCCTAAGTTCTGATGCCGTTTACAGTTTGAGGGTGCAACAGGAAAACTGGGCCTCAACATATATTAAGTCAAGTGCCAAGCGATCCCTCCATACTGCCTGCAAATTCACCACGCGCTCACATGGCCCGCCCCAGAGCAGATTGCCGTCCAGCGTCCCGTCTGGCTGCAGAACGCCGTGGCGAATCCCAAATCGCTGAAGTTCCAGAAAGCAAACTGTGAAATCTGACCCTCGCGCCAAAATTGTGACTACCTCCTTCAGGAAGCGATGACTAGCAAGGGTAGTGGCAAAGCGCTTATTTGGCTCTGCCAGCTTGGATGCCACAGTTGACATCATGACAGAAGTATCGCAAGTCCTCTCTGGCATGCGACCTGCGGACTCTCCCTTAACGGTTTTGGTGGGAAGAGGTTCTGGAAAGGATATTGCTGGCCAAAGGGCCGCATGCCAGTCTTGCACCTGGGTCTGTACGGTCTTTCTCAGAAAGTCCTTTTTCAAAGCTTTTCGTCGTTGCGCAGGTGTAACTGTAGCTTCTGCATTTGTCTTTGTGTCTTCATACAGCAACTCCAAAAAGTATGGAATGGCCCACTGCAGTTGCCGGTCCTTTGAAACACACACAGGAAAGAGTACGGAATTGCTACACGCACAAAATGAATGAAGATAAGCTGCTCTCACATGCCAAACTGGGATTGTGTGATTCAGCAATTGGAATTGACCTGCCCAAGCTGAGTCCCGAAAGAAATCCGAAAATTCCAGCAGAATCTGAGGCTGCAGCGTTCCTCGAGTATTGCCACGCCAGACTCAGCCATGGCTGCTCTTGCTGCCAGGGAAGAAAACAAGATCTTGCGCTGTATTTTTCTTGCGAATTGGCAATGTAGTGGCTGCCATACATTGGTCCAACTGGACCCACGTCAAGCTTGTTTGGTGTCGAATTGAGGCTTCTTCTGATCTGCCCACGTCTGCAGATGATCCGCACGCAATGCAATTTAATCTTTGCAAATCATGCTGAAAACTCGTTCTATTCATTCACG